CAGGTGGTGGTGTCGCGCGTGGCCCGGGTGTGCAAGAATGACGTGGGCGGCTCCCCGCGCGTGCTGGAGAAGCAGTGGACGTCCTTTCTGAAGGCGCGGCTCAACTGCTCCGTGCCCGGGGACTCCCACTTCTACTTCAACGTGCTGCAGGCCGTCAGCGGCGTGGTCAGCCTGGGCGGCCGCCCCGTCATCCTGGCCGTCTTCTCCACACCCAGCAACAGGTGGGTGGGTGCTGCTGGGGGGAGTGGGCCGGGGGTCCCGCGTTCACGCACAGATACTCCCCAGGTCCTGCGTTGGGAAGGAGTGGACCCAAGAGGCCTCAACCGTAGGCTGGGGTGGGGGACAATCTCATCCTCTGCCCGTGGGAGCAGGAACCAGGGAGGGCTTCCTGGAGGAAGGGGCATCAGAGCAATGTCTGAGTAGGACAGAGAGGAATAAGGAACGGTATTCCAAGTTAGGTTAGAGCAAGTGCAAAGGTCCTGAGGCTGCGATGCACTGGATGTGTTAAGTCACAGAGAGGAGGTCTGTGTGACTGAGGAGAGGGCGAGAATGAGGGGGAGGGAGGAGGATGTGAAGGCAGCAGGGCAATGGGAGGAATCAGACATAAAGAGGAACCTGGACTTCATTCTGAGAGCATTAGGGAGCCATGGGAGACTATAGAGGGAGAGAGGAGTGAGGTAGATTTGCATTTTTAGCAAGGTCTGGGGGGGGCGGGTGTGGTGGCCCATGCCTGTAATCTCAGCACTGAGGAGGCTGAGGCAGGAGGATCGCTGTGAGTCTGGGCTACACAGTGAGCTCAGGGCCAGCCTGAACTACAAAGGAAGATCCAGCCTCAAAAGAAAATATTTTAAAAAATACATAAAAAAGCAAGGTCTCGGGAATGAGTGGACAAGACAAGCAGGGCCACCGGGAGAGTGGACGTCGGGCAGGACACGGTGGGTGGCCTCGGGGAAGCTAAGGTGCGGGGAGGTGCAGCGGTGGGCTTGCCAGGCAGCACCTTGGGAACAGCCACCCAGGGCAGGGCCACCCCGCCTCCCGGGTGCCACCCCCGCCCAGCTCACCTGAGCCCCGTTGCACCCCAGCATCCCGGGCTCCGCTGTGTGCGCCTTCGACATGAGGCAGGTGGCCGCCGTGTTCGAAGGCCGCTTCCGCGAGCAGAAG